GACATGTAGGCTCTGAATAAAGCCATGGACAGACTTGCTTTGAAGTTTCTAGGGGGACCCAAACTCAAAGACAAATAAGCCACTTAGAGAAGGGCCCGTGAAAACCACGCTGCCTGGCACCATCGCCTCTCCAGTTGAGTCCAGTCTACCAGTTGCTCAACGAAGGATGCATAATGTTGCGTCAGCGAGGTCACGTGACTAGTGTCACGCCACGTTTCTAGAACTATCCTGCTCCTTCGGGAGTGCTCTAGCATGTGCTAGATTGGGGTGGTATGGTATATATAAAATGGTCACGGCGTGACGTGACAATGAGTGTAGGTAGTGAGTAATTGAACTGCAGTCAGAAAGTATTGTTGAAGTTCGTTGTTATATCGTTTGTTATAGAGCGACTGTTGAAAATAAGTGTATCGGTAAAGTTATATTCGGAAAGAATAAACCAGTTTTATTAAGAAAGGACTTGTGTCGCTAAAGTTTCGTGGGAACGAAGTTACGGAAAATTAACTAACGACTGGAGGCGTAACAATACTTTGGAATTAACTCCATCCCCATTAAATCAAAGCTGATTGAATATATGGTAATTCGTCAGTGGATTCTGAAGCGTCCTATATGTTATTTATGCCTGATGTCCATCTACCTGAGACATGAACACCATATTCAAAAATCAAGGAAGACCTTCCCAGAACTTAGATCTTTACAGAATATATCCAAGTGCCCAAAAGGTCTGACTAAATCAGAATCAACAAGCCAGATAGTGGCAACATATCACTCAGTCGAGAGAGTTTCTACAGTTCCTGACATCAAGGTGGAAGCCTCCATGTCAGCTGTTGCACCTCTTTCACCAACCAAAAAGACCTAGACCAAACCTTCAAGATGAGGAAAATTAGAGTTGCCCAACATAGTGCCAAACGAAGTAAAAGAACCCCTATGCTTCAACAGATACCATCTTAAAAGCTCCACTGCTAAGAACAAGTAACCAGGTGAACGGAGACTTGGGTCTTTATAATTATAGTATTTTGGCACTTG